ACAAAGATACTACGTCAATTGATACTAATGTTTCTTTTTCTTTAATATGGGAATTGTTAACTCTGTCTTTAACATCTACCGCGTTCTTAATGTTGTACCTAGAGTCCATTATCAGATTTTTTAATATTTGTATTATGTATTTGCACAGCCCGTAAGATGGGGATCCGATGGAGGAACATATTGGTCTCAGTGGTGTTCCTTCCTTGTGTAGTATTTTTGTAGTTACCGAGGAAATAAGACCCATCCTGAATAATTGTACCACGAATTTGTTATCCTTTGTCTGTAGTCTTCTGTAGTCGGTTCTATACGCGCAAAAATCGTCTAAAATATTTGTCATTTTATTTTATAATCATCCAATATAAGCCACAATTGAAACCAATTGACTTTATGAGAACACACAAATATTCTATAACTCAATAAGATAAGATGTACTGTAGAAAATTTCATCAAGATGGGTTCAGAAACATAATTATTAAAGAAAATGTGTTTTGCCATTCCTTGTATCAGCGGCAGCAAGCCAATAATTTCAGTATACATGTACACACACACACATTCATGGGCGTCTGCTTTGAGTTCTATCAACAGCATTGCAATTCCGATTGTGTTGTTTTCTGTGCTGCTATTATAATTCGTTTTTTACTCATTAAGACTATATTATTGGTGTGGCTGTTTGGTAGAGGCAGCGGCAAGTAGTGCGCTATGTTGCGATTTCGAACCCTTTCGAGAAGACACTAATTTTTTTTTTTTGGCTTGTCTGGCTGTTGAGTTGCGAGTTCGAACGCTGCCAAGGGAACTTTTTTTTTAAATTTATCTAGGGTATCCCCTAGTCGGGGCCTCCCGACTAGAACCTCTTACTTGCTTAATTTAGGCGTTAATGGTTTTACTATATCAGCGAAATTTCGTATAAACTTCCGATACAAGCCACATAGTCCTAGAAACTTTATTAAATTGCTTGTATTTTGTTTTATACGTTTAGTTGTGATGATGTGACTGAGAAATTCAGTTGGTTTTCTCATGAACTCGTATTTATCCAACTTTAGTTTTATGTAGGCTTTTCTAAGCTGCTCAAATACTTTTGGTAACGACAAAATGTGTTCTTCCAATGATGTGGACTTTCTTAACACCAAATGGCGTGCGTGTGTACTCGTAATGGCCATGTTAGGTCAAGAATGCGGTCTTGGGTATTAAAGGAGGATCAATTTTTTGGCTAGATAAATGGTTGTGAAACTTTCTCTAATATTTCATCGATTGATCGGGATAGGATATTTATCATCAATGGTAAATTCATTGAGGTTGCGGTATTCTATGACTAACCAGAATTTTTGCTTGCCAGATGCATTTTTTTTCTTCTGGTTAGCAGTAGGGAGATTTAGATTAACGTTATAGTAGGGAGTCCTCAAAAGGCTTCAGGGTGAACTCTGGTTGCTTTGCTACACACTTCTTGTGCGAACATGCCGACCGCCTTGCAGTTTTTGCAAAAAAAAAAGAGAAGCAGGATCCGGACATTATCCACCCGAATACGGAATTTGAGCTCGGCAGAATTTGGCTCGGCAGGACGCCTTGGAGAATGAGGTCGGGATAAATGGAGGCCTTTGCAAGTGATGCGTCGATAAGACCCACCTTACAGCACGGGTCTAAAAGTGCCCGGGTGTTGCGGGTCGACTTGCCGGTCCCAAGACGGATCAGTGCTCTCGGGAGCACGGTCGTTCTGTTGTGCTCCATTAAGGTGGACAGTAAGATAGAGCCAGCTGACAAAGGCGACGCGGACGTGCTGAAGAAGTTGAAAAGTTAAGAACATTAATTATGCGGCTTTATACGGATGGTTGATCTGTGGATCTAGGATTCTAGTCTCTACTGGGGGTTGCATTGATGGAAAATTGAAGACCAGTTTCTACCGGGAGTAGGATCAGCTTCGAGATGGGTCTCCAGAGTCACTCGGACTTCTTGGTCGTCGCCAGAATACCCCCAGACGACCCTCATTAACTGGAAGATTATCTTCTTTGATAATGACTAGGTCGTCACGTTGGAGGTCTCGCGTTGGAGTTTGCCATTTGATTATTTTTTGCAATTTTTTGCCAATCTGTTTGCTACAAAGGTAGTCCAGGCGCATGGTGGCTTATGAAGCCAGGACAGAAGTGCTGCTCCGCACAGCTCTAGATGGAGCGAAAAAGAACTAATCGGTGTCAGCTTTCCATCTGATCCCGAGAGTCTTTGCCGAACAGGCCTCCTCGATCTCTAAGAAGTCGGCGCGAAGCAAGTGGTCCTTGGGAATCGCTCTTAGCAAGTTCCTTTTCATTGGATGTCCATTTTCGCAAGGGGTACCCGGCAGATTCAAGGGCTTTGCGGAGTTCTGCAATTGCTAGACCTGCTGTTGATTTGGAATGGGCTCCCGCTAGTACGTCGTCGACATACATATTGTTTGCGATAATGTGGCTTGCTAAGGGATAGAGCGAACGAACGTCGGTGACCTAAGTAATTTTCGACACTCTGTTTGCCACAAATGTAGTCCACGCGCATGGGGGCATATGAACCTAGCACTATTGGGGAATCTCTCGGCATTTATTAGTTTTACTATGCTCCTTACATATATGCAAAATCCAACGATATCATATAGCTGCCATAGGAACGATCGGTCGAAAAATAAGTTGTTGTATGGAATTTTTTTTGTTTTTGAAGATATCTTGATCAAACTCGGTATTTATTAATTTTAGTTTTACTATGCTCCTCATATATATACAAAATCCTATCAACATCGGACTTGTATATCATATAGCTGCCATAGGAACGATCGGTCGAAAAGTAGGTTCTTGTATGGAAAACATTTTTGTTTTTCAAGATATCTTGATCAAACTCGGCATTTATCAGTTTTCCTATATTCCTCATATATATGCAAAATCCTATCAACATCGGACTACTATATCATACAGCTGCCATAGGACCGATCGCTCGAAAAACAAATTGTTGAACATTTTTTTTGTTTTTCAAGCCTTTGGAAAAATTCACCTAAGTCGAGAGTTCCATTAGTATTAAGGTCGCAGATCTCAATTCTTGCAACAGTCCTTTTATCATGCCTTAACAGGCATAACATAATTATTATGTGCAAGGTCACTATTTTTTATATCGTCGTTTTTGATGACGTCATAATTGTAAATATTTTACGGTTATTCTAGATAACGCATCTGCATCAAAGTTATCTTTTCCCTTGAGATATTTTACAGTAAATTCATACTCTTCTAAATCTAGCCTCATTTTAGCCTCTCTCCACTGTAGAGATACTTACTGTTCGGTCATATACCTCATATATACATTAGTCAGGGTATCAATAGCAATGTCAAAGCAGATTATATTAAGATTATGTTAATTCTCTTTTATTTGAATGTCATAAGCACTCATACACATGTACGAAGTCTCGCTCTCTTTCGAACTCTGTAATTGCTCGGTCCCTTTAATCTTAATTTATGTTAAGAAATCAGTTCTGTAAGCATCATCATAGAAGTCAGTCGTGTTGCTCATCAATTTGTAAAACCTTTATTAAAACTTCATACCATCTACACACGCCCACTTGAGATAAGATTCTAAAAAGGTCAAAAAAACGCTTTTGATCCAACATTTTGGCGCCCAACATTGGGGCTAGTGTGTGGAAATTGACGGCATATCGTTGCGTGTCGTGTTTGACGCCTCGTGCACTTCATCGTCCCAGCATTCATTGAATGATTTGCTCCTCGTTGGCCCAACACTCCAAGAAGATCTGCATATACTTCTCCTTCGGACATTACGAAAATGTATAGACAAGTTTTAGTCAGCCCAGTGGATCGGAAATTTCAATATATCTTTTTGGAGAGCATCCCCTGACGCTGATTTGCAGACCTTTGAGCTAAATACAGTGACGTATGGAACGGCCTCGGCCCCATACTTAGCAGTTCGCAGTTTGCAATATCTGGCAGATCTGCATGTGAACGAGTTTCCCATTGGCGCATCCATTGTAAAATCATCGTTTTATGTTGATGATCTGCTATGCGGAGCAAACGAGCTCATCGAGTTGCAGAACATCAAACACGAGGTCACCGAGATACTTCGCCGAGGACACTTCCAATTGGTTAAGTGGCACTCCAATCATCCCGCCGTGAGGAACGACGAATCGGTAAAGGATTTAAACTTGGATGAAAACGCTGTCACTAGCGCACTTGGCTTAGCTTGGGATCAACGTCGTGAAGTGCTACTATTTGAATTTAAACCCAAAAAATTGTATTCAACATTCACAAAGAGGACTATTCTCTCGACTGCGTCTTCTCTGTTCGATCCAATAGGATTGCTGGCACCAATCATCATCGTCTCGAAAATCATCATACAGGAGCTATGGTTGCTAAAAAACTCGCCTGGGATGAATCTGTTCCGCAATCACTTCTACAAGCATGGAGAAACTGCGTAACGTCTCTCAAGGAATTGTCGTCGATCTCAGTACCCCGTTTTTGCTTGCAAGCTGAGCTCACAGACATACAACTGCACGCTTTCTGTGACGCATCAATACGTGCTTACGGCTGTTGCGTATATGTGCGTTTCACGGACTCGTATGGCAATGTCCAGGTTCAGCTTCTGACTGCTAAATCTCGGGTGGCTCCTGTCAAGAAGCTGACGCTTCCTCGATTAGAGTTAAGCGGAGCTCAACTTCTGAGTAAGTTATATACAACTGTCAAAAACATATTCATCGGCAAGCCGCACAGCGCGCATTTCTGGTCTGATTCGCAGATTGTCTTGCACTGGCTGCAACAACACTCTATCACCTTTTACATTTGTTGGAAATAGAGTATCCATTATACAAGGTCAAACAGCAGATGGAAAGTGGAGACATGTACCGTCAAAATTGAACCCTGCTGACATCGTGTCACTTGGATGGATGCCCAGCTAATGAGCTCCAGCAATCAATTTGGTTTACAGGACCTGCGTTTCTGCGTGATTCCGAGACTCAATGGCCCTGCCAACAATTCGACAATGATTTGGACATGGACATTATCGATGCTGAAAAACGGAAGTCTACATTTGCTGCAATTATCGAAAGTAATTCTATTCTGGACTGGCTGAACGGAACTAGTTCATACATTCGGGCGCTTCGAGTTATGGCATATATGTTCCGGTTTTACCATATTGCCAAAAAGGAACACCCTGTCGAAAGTTCGCCGCCATGCCCAGAAGAACTTCGCCACGCGTTGCACTGCATCATCAGGATCATCCAACAGCACTATTTCAAGGAAGATTTGCAATTGCTAAGGAAACAAAGAGATTTGAAAAGCAATCTGAAATTTCTCAGCCCCTTCATAGATGACTCTTCTGGATACGAGCTCATTAAGGTTGGCGGCAGACTCGAGCATGCTGATATCCCCTCTCGTCAAAGGCATCCTTTACTTGTTCCCAAGGAATCGCAATTTGTCCACAATTATGTTCGGCATCTTCACTTGCGCAATTACCATGCAGGACCAAAGGCATTAGTTGGACTGCTGCGGCTTCAATTCTGGGTCATAAACGCAAGAGCTTTAGCACGCAGCATTGTTCGTTCTTGTGTACACTGTGTCAGATATCGTCCAGTTCTACTTCGTCAAGTCATGGGTTCCCTGCCACCTGAGCGCTTATCCACAGACAAGCCATTTCGCCACGTTGGAGTCGACTTCTGCGGTCCAGTGAACACCTATCTTCGAATACGTGGCAAGGGTCCCACAAAATCCTATATCGCCATATATGTCTGCATGGCCGTAAAGGCCGTTCACATTGAAATCGTGTCAGATCTTTCAACGAATAAGTTTTTGGAATCGTTGAAACGCATGGTTGCCCGTCGTGGACCAGTATCGCACATCTATTGTGACAACGCCACAAATTTTGTCGGAGCATCCAACAAGCTACTCGAGTTAAAGAAGTTCATGTTCAACACTAGCACTCAAGATGCTATCCTATCATATTGTTCCTCTGAAGAGATAACCTTTCATTTCATTCCACCTAGGGCTCCACACTTTGGCGGTCTTTGGGAGGCCGCTGTCAAGAGCGCAAAGGGTCTGCTGGTGCGTACCCTCGCTAACACCCGGTTCACCTTTGAGGAACTGAACACCGCAGTCGTTGAGATAGAAGCAGTACTCAACTCTCGCCCGCTGTCACCGCTATCATCTGATCCCAACGACTTCAGCGCTCTCACTGCAGGACACTTTCTAAATGGAGATGCACCGCGCGCTTTGCCCGAGCGTGAGATTATCACCAACAACATCTCCAACTTGGATCGTTACGAGCAGATCACAGCTGTTAAACAGCAATTCTGGCGTCGTTGGTCTGCGGAGTATGTGAACGAGCTTCGAGCCAGGACAAAGTGGACTTCGGGGTCCCCAAATCTCACAGTTGACTCTATGGTCATCATACATGAGGACAACACACCGCCATTACACTGGAAATTAGGGCGTGTTGAGTCTGTTGTGAGTGGCAAAGATGACCGGGTTCGTGTCGCATATATTCGCACTGCCTCTGGACTCTGTTGCCGGCCAGTACATAAGCTGGCTGTTCTACCTGTCTCTTGAAAGATAATTCTTTCAAGGCGGCCGGGATGTTCGGTCATA